TGCCGGCCCTGGGGCTCCGCGGCCCCGCGCAGGACGCCCAGGTGAGTGCGCGGCGGCGCGAAGCGAGCGCTGGAGTGGGTCCTGCGACCGCCAGGTTTGGCACGTGTGGAAAGACATCACATCCACATTGCTCCTGGTGCGGTCGCTTTGGGCACTTTAAAAAAAAAACATTCTCTGAGCCTTGGTCTTCCTGTGACTAGGAAAACGCAAGCTGATGTAACACTTGCCTGACTGATTGAGATTAAAAATGGGTGCGAAGCACGCCATCGAGTGGCAGCCGTTCTGAAGTCTCTCAGTAAAACAGTAAAAGTTTCACAGGTTTGAAACTGATGAGGATAGAGGTTACTTTGAGGATTTTGTTTGTTTGTTTAGACAGGGTCTCCCAGTTTAGCTCAGGCTGGCCTTGAGCTCAAAGCGATCCTCCTGCCTCAGCCTCCCCAGTGCTGGGGTTATAGGCATATGCCACTTTGCCCAGCTGTGGGGGTTTGAATGGAGGAAAAGACTGGCTGAAGGAGAGATTACAGATGCTGGACCAGATAAAGAAGAAGATGAGAGGGGCCGGGGATTTAGCTCAGGGGCAAAGTGCCTGCCTGGCAAGTGCAAGATCATGAGTTGGTTCCCGGTACCGGAGAAAAACCAAAAAAAAAAAGAAGGAGATGAGGAGGAAGGGAAGTGCCAGGCTGTGGCTGTGAGCCCTTCCAGAGTGGGGCTGCCCCCTGGGTGCTCACAGCTCCGCTCCTGAAGAGTACTGAGCACACGTGGGTACTTAGCGTTTCTTCAGTGAACAAGTGAATAAATATGTGTCCTGCATCCTCCTATCTGCTCACCCTACCCAAAATAGTCCCCTCTTACTTAGAAATCCTGTTACCCAAGTCTGCTTATTTTCTTCCTAGGAGTTTTTTAAAAAAATGGAGCAGCGTTGTATATTTGTTTATTGCTTGTTCCCTCCAGAAGATATGATTGTCTGCTCTGGACTAGCCTTGTCTAATCTTTATTCCTAACTTTCGTGCTTAGTGTATTTCATCTGATACCTAACGTAACGTCCAGCAGGGACTGTTGGAACCGGATGTGTGTCACTTATGCACACATGTACACTCGAGCACACATGTGTGCGTCCGAGGGGCTGGAACTCGGGCCTCAGCATGGGCCCCAGCCCGGAGCCAGCTCTCCCAGCCGGAAGGGTTTGGATTCTCACCGCCTGGGCCAGCGGGAACTGGCCTGGGGTGGCCGTCTGTAGGAGCGGACAGAGGCCCGGTGGGTGGGCAGGAGTGGGCTGAAGTGGCCAGGTCTTGTCTCACGCCCTTCTCCTTCCGGTCAGGCTGCACTGGGCGCCCTGGGCAAGGCCCTGCGGCCCCTGGAGGAGTGGCTGAGGCTGCACACCTACCTGGCGGGGGACGCGCCCTCTCTGGCTGACCTGGCCGCCGTCACAGCCTTGCTGCTACCCTTCCGATACGTGAGTCCCTGGGCTGGGGAGGAGCCGCCGCCCGGCCCGCGCTGCCCGAGTGCTGCCGTGACCGAGGCTGCTCTTCCCCTGCCCCCCCAGGTCCTGGACCCCTCCGCCCGCCAGATCTGGGGCAGCGTGACCCGCTGGTTCAGTGCCTGTGTCCAGCAGCCGGAGTTCCGGGCTGTGCTGGGAGACGTGGCTCTGTACTCGGGGACCAGGTCCCCCTGCCAGCAGCCAGGTGGGCAGGGCGGGGCGGGAGGTCAGCCCTGGCCGCCGGACACGGCCCCTGTGCGTGCCAGCACCGTGCGGAGCCCTCGGCGGGCTGGCTGAATTCCTGTTCCCCTTTTTAGGCCCTGAGGTCCCTGCACCTCCCAAGACAGCTGCTCAGCTCAAGAAAGAAGCGAAGAAGCGGGAGAAGCTGGAGAAGTTCCAACAGAAGCAGAGGCTGCAACAGCAGCAGCCGCCCGCAGGGGAGGTGAGGGCGCGCCGGGGCGGGCTGTGGCCTGGCCGGCGACGGCCACGATGGACCCTCCTGACGCCTGGGCCTCGTCCTCCCAGCAGAAGAGGCCGAGAGCGGAGAAGAAGGAGAAACGCGATCCCGGCGTCCTGACCTATGACCTCCCGACCCCGCCTGGGGAGAAGAAAGGTACGGGTGGAAGGGGCCGCCTCTTCCCTGCCCGCCCCTGCACGCGCCCCTCGCGCTGAGCCGCCCGCTGCCCGCAGATGTGAGCGGCGCCATGCCCGACTCCTACAGCCCGCGGTACGTGGAGGCCGCCTGGTACCCCTGGTGGGAGCAGCAGGGCTTCTTCAAGCCGGAGTACGGGGTGAGTGGGCGCCGCGCCGCCCGGGCGGGGAGGCCGGAGGCCCAGCCAGGCGGCGCGAGGCCTTAGCGCGTGCCCGTCCTTCTCTGCCGTCAGCGCCCCAGCGTGTCGGTGCCAAACCCCCGGGGCGTCTTCATGATGTGCATCCCACCCCCCAACGTGACAGGCTCCCTGCACCTGGGCCATGCGCTCACCAACGCCATTCAGGACTCGCTGACCCGATGGTGAGCTCCGAGCCTGCGGCCCCGGGCTCCCCCTGCGGCCTCTCTGTCCCGGTCCCGCTCGGCCCCCTAGCGGTGCTGCGTTCTTTCAATGGGTCTTTAAACTTCCTCATGCACCCGACTAGGGGCTCTGCGTCTCCCTTCTCTTTCTTTTTTTTCTTTTTTGTTTTTTGGAAACAGGGTCTCACTATGCAGTTCAGGCTGGCCTTGAGCTCACTTTGTAGCCCAGGCTGGCCTCGAACTCACAACGATCCTCCTGCCTCAGTCTCCTGAGTGCTGGGATTACAGGCGTGCGCCACCACAACTGGCTCTCCCTTCTCTTTCTAATAATAAAAACAGCTTTAGGATTTTTTTTTTTTGAGGCAGGGTTTCACTATGTAGTTCAAGCTGGCCTTGAACTCACTATGTAAGCCTAGGCTGGTCTCAAACTACAGGGATCCTACTGCCTCAGCCTCCTGAGTGCTAGGATTACAAGTGTGCACCACCACACCTGGCTCTTTTTGTTCGTTTGTTTGTTTTGTTTTTCTCAGGTACCAGAAACCGAACTCACGACCTTGCGCTTGCCAGGCAGGCGCTTTTGCCACTGAGCTAAATCCCCAGTCCCTTTCCTTTTTTTTTTTTGTGTGTGTGTGGGGGGGAGGCTCTTCTTTTTTTTTATTTTTATTTTTTAATTTTTTTTATTTTTTTTATTTTTTATTTTTTTGGTTTTTCTCCGGTACCAGGAACCGAACTCACGACCTTGTGCTTGCCAGGCAGGCGCTTTTGCCGCTGAGCTAAATCCCCAGCCCTGTTCTTTTTTTTAAACCTCTGTGCTAGGACATGTAGGTACCCAGAAGAAAAAGGGGGTGATTTTTCCTTAGGTGAGTCCACCTTTTAATGGAAAGGACTCGAATCACACGTCATTCTTTTTTTTTTTTTTTTTTTTTTTGCCTTTTTGAGACAGGGTTTGGCTATGCAGTTCAGGCTGACCTTGAGCTCACTTTGTAGCCCAGGCTGGCCTTGAACTCGCAATGATCCTCCTGCCTTAGCCTCCCAAGTGCCAGGATTATAGGCGTACACCACCACGCCTGGCCTGCTTGTTTTCTTTTTATTAATGGTCATCCCTAATTTTCCTCTGATGGAAACCTGTTGTAGAGCATGTCCCACGTGTGCTTGCTCAGGCATGTGTGGAAGGGTTTCTCTTGTGCAGCTGCCCATAAGTAACCCTGCTGGGCTGTCAGAATCCGCCACGTGAGACTTGAGGAAGCCGCCAGGGTCCTCTGAATCGCGTGTGCACCTGTTTATTTCCCCACCCTTGCCAACCTTGGGCTTCGTCCATCTTTGTTTTGCAGTCTAATACCTCTGTTATTTTACCAACTGCTGCTGAGGCCGTGTCTCTTGGCTAGCCAGGTTTCCCCATATGTGAAGAGTCTGTACTTGTCTGTTGCCCATTTTTCTGTAGATTTGATCTATTTAGTGGTGCAGGGGATTGAACCCGGAGCCTTTCCTTCAAGCAATAGCCCTTCTTATATTTTTTGAGACAGGGTCTTGCTAGGTTGTTAAGCGCCCCAAGCTGGGGTTGAACTTGGGATCCACCTGTTTCAGCCTCCTGAGTGCTGGGATTACTGGTGTGCACCACCTTGCCTAGCTGTTTTGTTTTTTTTTTACTTTTTTTTTTCCTTTGGTACTGGGAATCAAACTCAGGACCTTTCGGGCACTTGTGCCACGGAGCCGTATCCCGGCCCTTATTGTTCACTTCTGTGTGTGTGTGCTTTTTGAATTGGTTTACTGGAGAGCTTTTCATCTGCCGTGGTACTGGTTTTGGGTTGTTTCATCCGTATCACAAGTGCAGCATGTTGCTGCATGTGCGTGTCTGTTGTGTGCAGTACTCCTGGGATTGCTGATGTTTCTCCTGTTTTCTGGTTGTGTGTGTTTTTGGCAGTGCTGAGGATTGAGCCCAGGGCCTCACATGTGTTAGGCAGACACTGCCACTGGGCTCCAGCCTGTGACCATGGCCTTACATTTTAGGTTGATTTCTTTTTTTTTTTTTTTGAGACAGGATATCGCTATGCAGTTCAGGCTTGTCTCAAACTCGCAACAATCCTCCTGCCTCAGCCTCCTGAGTGTTGGGATTACCGTTGTACACCACCACACCTGGCCTTAGGTTGATTTCTTTTCTTCCTTTTTTTTTTTTCGTACCGAGAATCGAACTTAGGACCTTGTGCTTGCCAGGCAGCACTTGTGCCACTGAGCTACATCCCTGGCCCAATTAGATTGAGTTCTTCACTCTGTGGGTGTGTGTGCACGCATGCATACACATGAGAAGTAGGGAGGTTTTCTCCAGATAGTCATTTGTCCCAGACACTTTCACTGCACAGTTTCTCCTCAGCCTGCTGATAGCGTACTGTGACCTTTCTCAAATGCTTGCTTTGTTTGCATCTCTCTGCTGACACCGTTTTGTCCCCGGTCTGTCACTTTGTTCCCAGGATTCACTTACTTTCATAAGTTTCTCATTTCTTTCGCTGTCTGGTTGGGCAAAAGCCTCTTTGTTCCTTTTCCAGATCTCCTGTTCGCCTCGGAATCTCTTCTCCCCGGCCTGCTTTCCCGTCGGGAGGGTCCCCGCTCCGCCCCCTCTCTTTCCTGAGCTCCCGCCGACCCCTCGCCTGGCAGCCTCTGCTTCCAGTGCCGGGCGCCGCGGGCCCGGCTCACCCTCGCCCTCCCGCCCTCCCCAGGCACCGCATGCGCGGCGAGACCACCCTGTGGAACCCGGGCTGTGACCACGCGGGCATTGCCACCCAGGTGGTGGTGGAGAAGAAGCTGTGGCGGGAACGAGGGCTCAGCCGGCACCAGCTGGGGCGCGAGGCCTTCCTGCAGGAGGTCTGGAAGTGGAAGGAGGAGTGAGTACGCGGCGGCCTTCCCGGCCATCCTCTGCAGGAAGGACCTCGGGCTTCTGCCCCGGGGCGGGGGTCAGTCAGTGTCAGGGATGCGCGGCCGCCATGCTGCCCCGTTGGGCAGCTGATGTCCGTCCAGCCCCGGCCGTCTGTCCTTCCAGGAAAGGTGACCGGATCTACCACCAGCTGAAGAAGCTCGGCAGCTCCTTGGACTGGGACCGAGCCTGTTTCACCATGGACCCTGTGCGCAGGATGGGGTCCCAGGGCTGGGGTGGGAATGGAGGCTGTTCAGGTCAGGACCCTAGCAGGGGCAGCCCTGCTGCCACCGTCCCTCGGCCGGCCAGCCGGCCCTGTGCTAGGACGCCCTGCCGGCTCGGCGGCAGGTGTTACCCCCACCCAAGTCCTGATGGCCTGAGCAGTCCCCTGAGCTCCCAGGATGCCTTGCAGCAGCACCTGCCCCCAGCGGGGGTTCCCTCGCCATCCCAGCGTCATCACACTTGCCACCTGCCCGTGTGTGGCCGGAAGCGCCGTCCCTCCCACAAGGAAAGCACTTCTCACAGCGCTGTGCGTCCTTCGGGGCACTCTGCACAGGACAGGGCTCCCCACGCCCTGCTGCCTTGCGTGTGTGCCTCAGCCTCCGGGCACCCGGCCCAGGTCTCTGACTCCTCCTGCTCCACCCCAGAAACTGTCGGCGGCTGTGACAGAGGCTTTCGTGCGGCTTCATGAGGAAGGCATCATCTACCGCAGCACGCGCCTGGTCAACTGGTCCTGCGCCCTCAACTCCGCCATCTCCGACATTGAGGTGCCTCCCACCCCTGAGCTCTGTCTGCTGTCACCAGCCCCAGCTCCAGGGCCGCTTCTCTACAAATACCCATCTTACAGGTGGATAAGAAGGAGCTGACAGGTCGCACGCTGCTCTCTGTGCCCGGTTACGAGGAGAAGGTGGAGTTTGGGGTCCTGGTGTCCTTCGCTTACAAGGTGCAGGGCTCAGGTAGGCCTCCAGCCACCGGGGTCGGGCCGGGTGGGCAGGGAGGGGAAAGGGCCGGGGTTGAGCCCGTAAGCCTTCTGTTCTCAGACAGTGGTGAGGAGGTGGTGGTGGCCACAACTCGGATTGAGACCATGCTGGGCGATGTGGCGGTGGCCGTGCACCCAGAAGATCCCAGATACCAGGTGGGCGCGCGCTGCCAGGAGCTGGCCTGAAAGAGGTGCTCACACCTCTGGGCGGGTGGGGAAGGGAGCGAGGCCAGGCTGACTCTCGGGGAGGTCGTCAGAAACGTGTCTTCTCGTTTCCCAGCCGGAAGACGGAGCTGTTGGTGGCCATTGGGGAGCTGGGGTGCTGGGCGGGGCGGGGTGCTGGGCGGGGCGGGGTGCTGGGCGGGAGCACGCTGACATCTCCGTGTGTGCCAGCACCTGCAGGGAAAGAGTGTGGTCCACCCGTTCCTGCCGCGGAGCCTCCCCGTTGTCTTTGACGATTTTGTGGACATGGAGTTTGGCACAGGTGAGCGGGGAGCTGGGCTTGGGGTGGGGAGGAGGCGGCCACGCCCGTCTCCGAGAAAAAGGAAATGAACTTCAGCTGGAGGGGCAGGACCTGAGTCGTGCTCCGGACCGCTGGGAGGTGGGGCTGGCTTGGGGCCACGTCCTTCCGCGCAGGGCTGAGCGTGGGGACCCTGGCCTTCCCCGTGTGCCCCAGGCGCCGTGAAGATCACCCCCGCGCACGACCAGAACGACTACGAGGTGGGGCAGCGGCACCGGCTGGAGGCCATCAGCATCATGGACGCCCGCGGGGCCCTCATCAACGTGCCCCCCCCTTTCCTGGTGAGGCTGCTGGGCTTCAGGCGCCCAGGGTGGCCACCCAGGCACCGCTGTGACTCGGTGTCTCTCCCCCGCAGGGCCTGCCCAGGTTTGAGGCCCGGAAGGCTGTGCTGGCGGCCCTGAAGGAGCAGGGGCTCTTCCGGGGCATCCGGGACAACCCCATGGTGGTGCCACTGTGCAAGTGAGGTCAGGGCCCCCGGGGGGCGGGGGGGCTGCTCGGGCCGCCGTGCTGACTGCCGGCCTCCTGCCGCTGCCCCCCTCCGCACCCCCAGCCGTTCTAAGGACGTGGTGGAACCTCTGCTGCGGCCGCAGTGGTACGTGCGCTGCGGGGAGATGGCCCAGGCCGCCAGCGCAGCTGTGACGCGGGGCGACCTCCGCATCCTGCCCGAGGCCCATCAGCGGACGTGGCACTCCTGGATGGACAATATCCGGTGCGTGGGCCCTCCGTGAGCGGGGCGGGGGTGGGCAAGGGCTGAGGAGCCCCCTGACCCCCTCCGCGCCCGCAGGGACTGGTGCATCTCCCGGCAGCTGTGGTGGGGCCATCGCATTCCAGCCTACTTCGTCACTGTCAGCGACCCTGCCGTGCCCCCCGGGGAGGTGAGGCGTGGGTCCATTCCTGCGGGTTTGCTGGGCCCTGGGGGGCGGGCAGGGCGGGGCCCCCGCGGGTGCTCAGCTCACCTGTGGCAGGACCCGGACGGCCGCTACTGGGTGAGTGGACGCAGCGAGGCGGAGGCCCGGGACAAGGCAGCCAAGGAGTTCGGGGTGTCGCCTGACAAGATCGCCCTCAAGCAAGGCAAGGCAGGGCCTGCAGGGTGGGAGGGCGGAGCTGGCTGTGACCCGCACTTTTGCCGCCTGAGCCCTCTGATGTCGGCCTCCCTCAGATGAGGACGTGCTGGACACCTGGTTCTCTTCTGGCCTCTTCCCCTTCTCCATCTTCGGCTGGCCCAGCCAGGTGCGTTTCTGGGGCCAGACTGGGGTGTGGTGGGGCCTTAGGGGGCGCTGGGCCCCTCTTTATGCCCCACCCTGTCCCCAGTCAGAAGACCTGAATGTGTTCTACCCGGGGACGTTGCTGGAGACGGGCCATGACATCCTGTTCTTCTGGGTGGCCCGGATGGTCATGCTCGGCCTGAAGCTCACCGGCAGGCTGCCCTTCAGAGAGGTGCGCGGAGCTGTGGGCCGGCGGCCTGGGCTCCCGCAGGGTAGCGAGGGCGCTGCCTCACAGGAAGGCACCGAGCGGGCTGGTGGGGTGCCTGGTGGGCCCTGAGGCTCACGGTGGGCAGACCCTCGTGCGGGACGTGGAGGCCGGGAGGGGCCTCGGGCTCAGTGGCCCCCCGCCCCCTGCCCCCAGGTGTACCTGCACGCCATCGTGAGGGACGCACACGGCCGGAAGATGAGCAAGTCTCTGGGCAATGTCATCGACCCCCTCGACGTCATCCACGGCGTCTCCCTGCAGGTAGGGCTGGGTGTTGGGCCAGCCAGGAGCGGCTGTGGCCCAGGGACCACAGCCACCTGACTGCGCCTCTGCCCTCAGGGCCTGCACGAGCAGTTACTGAGTAGCAACCTGGATCCCAGCGAGGTGGAGAAGGCCAAGGAAGGACAGGTCTGTGGGGGGCCGGGGGTGGGGTGCAGCGGAGTGAGCGGGTGCTGACCAGGCCACCGCTTCCTGCCCTGTAGAAGGCCGACTTCCCTGCTGGGATTCCTGAGTGTGGCACCGACGCCCTCCGGTTTGGCCTCTGTGCCTACACCTCTCAGGGTAGGTGCCCCCAGATCTGTCAGCCGCCTCCTTCCTCCTCCCTGGAGGCCCAGCCCTGGGCTCCAGCCTGGGCTCCTTGTGGCCCTGGCAGGGCACGGCGAAGACTCACGTGTCACCTTCTCCCAGGTCGGGACATCAACCTGGATGTGAACCGGATACTGGGTTACCGACACTTCTGCAACAAGCTCTGGAACGCCACCAAGTTTGCCCTCCGAGGCCTCGGGCAGGGCTTTGTGCCCTCACCCACGTTCACGGTGAGGCCTGGCGGGCAGCAGGGCTGGCAGGTCGCGCACACCCCTGCCCTTTAGGTTATGCACGGCCCGCATTGTGGCAGGGTTGCAGCTGTGGGGTCAGCAGCCCCTTCCCTGTCCCTGAGCGGCCTCCCTGCGGCTGCGGGCAGGCAGTTGGGGCCCCAGGGCCCTTCCGCCCGGGCGGCTGTCAACCCGTCCCTTCTCCCAGACGCCGGGCCCGGCGCTCAGTTGCCCTGGGCCCGTCAGGTTTCTGGCCCCACCGTGGGTGTGCGCTCCCTCCCCCGGGTGTGTGGCGGCCTTGCTGGCTGATCCGCCTCCTCCCCACAGCCGGGGGGCCGCGCGAGCCTGGTGGACCGCTGGATCCTCAGCAGGCTGACGGAGGCCGTGAGGCTCAGCAATGAAGGCTTCCAGGCCTATGATTTCCCAGCCATCACCACGGCCCAGTATAGCTTCTGGCTGTACGAGCTCTGTGACGTCTACCTGGTGAGGCGCAGCCCGGTGGGGTGGGCCCTTGTCTTCGGTGCAGGGAGGGCTGGAGCCTGACGCGCAGGCTGAGCCGGTGCCCCCCGCCCAGGAGTGCCTGAAGCCCGTGCTGCACGGGGTGGACCAGGCCGCCGCCGAGTGTGCCCGCCAGACGCTCTACACCTGCCTGGACGTCGGCCTGCGCCTGCTGTCGCCCTTCATGCCCTTCGTGACGGAGGAGCTGTTCCAGAGGCTGCCCCGGCGCTCGCCGCAGGCCCCTGCCAGCCTCTGCGTCACCCCCTACCCCGAGCCTGCGGAGGTGAGGGCTGGTCTGGCACGGACCCCCCGGGGGACGGGACTCTGGCTGTCCTCAGGGCCGCTCATGGCCTGCTGCACCCCACAGTGCTCCTGGAAGGACCCTGAGGCAGAGGCTGCCCTCGAGCTGGCGCTGAGCATCACTCGTGCCGTCCGCTCCCTGCGTGCGGACTACAACCTCACCCGGACCCGGCCCGACTGTGAGCCCAGGCCCGCGGCCGCCCTGCCCCGCCGCCGCCCCGGGAGCCTGCGCTGCTGTGGCCGCCGGGTGCCGTCTCCGCGGCCAGGCCTCACCCTCACCCCTCCCTGCAGGTTTCCTGGAAGTGGCCGACGAGCCCACAGGCGCCCTGGCGTCGGCGGTGTCCGGCTACGTGCAAGCGCTGGCCAGCGCGGGTGTGGTGGCAGTCTTGGCCCTCGGGGCTCCTGCACCCCAGGGCTGCGCCGTGGGCCTGGCGTCTGATCGCTGCTCCATCCACCTGCAGCTGCAGGGCCTGGTGGACCCCGCAAGGGAGCTGGGCAAGCTGCAGGCCAAGCGGGCGGAGGCGCAGCGCCAGGCCCAGCGCCTGCAGGAGCGCCGCTCCGCCGCAGGCTACTCCGGCAAGGTGCCCCTGGAAGTCCAGGAGGCGGACGAGGCCAAGGTGTGTGATGTGGCTGGGCAGTCCCCGCGCCGTCCGCTCCCTCCGTGCCCACGCCCGTCCTCACACCGACCCCGGCCCGGCCCTGACCACACCGGCCGCTCCCTGCACACAGGTGCAGTGGGGTCACACAGTCAGCTGGAGACGCAGGCAGAGCTAGATCCGGGCATCCCGCCTCCCAGCCTGCCCTAGCGCCGCCTCCCGCCCCCTCCCACCTCCATGGTGCTCTGGGCTGGGCCGCTGCCTCCTGGTGCTGAGCCCCCACACCCCCTCGGGTCCCAGGAGGAGCGGCGGTAAGCTGCGGGGACCAGAGGCCAACAGCAGGAGGCCGGGAGCGGCCAACGGGACTGGAGCCCCCTCCCGTGCCCTCCGCCTAGACCACGTTAGCGTTGCCATGTCTTGCCTGGCAGCCTGCGCTCCTGCCCGGCGGTGGGGGAGGGGTGCCAGGCGGCGTGGGGATTCCCTTTGATCCCTCAAGAAAGAGGAAGGCCCTGTGGCCGGGGTGGGGGCGGGGCGGGTGCTGGTCCAGAAGCTGGGCAGAACCAGCACTCCCCTCTCCTGGGCCTCGCCCTCTTGGGACTTCCTGCCCTCCTGGGTGTTGCGGTCTCCTCGGAACTGGGTCCTCACCACCCACCGCTGTGTCCCACCCCAGCTCAGACAGACAGAGGCAGAGCTCAGGAAGGTGGATGAGGCCATCGCCCTGTTCCAGAAGATGCTGTGACGCCCGCTCCAGCCCTCTCGGCCCCCGGGGTCCACCTTGGGAACAGCAGCAATAAAATATTTTGCCACAAACTCGTGTGTCTGTGCGGTGGGGGCGGGTGGGGCGCAGGGCCCCTCTGAGCGGCGGGCGGCCTGGGCGCCGCGGGTGCAGGGCGCGCAGTCCGGGTCTGGGCCTGGCCCTGCGCCAGGCCTGAGTCACGCTGCCCGCCCTCCCAGCTCTTCTCCCCTCCGCACTGCGCCGGCCCTGGCCTGTGCCACGGCGCGGGTAGAGGGCCAGGGGCTGCCTGCCCAGCTCGCCTTGCGAGGGCCCGGTTAATTATAACTGACCTCAGTGCCCCGCCGGGCCGCACTGCCCAGGAGACCCGGCAACCAGGTAGGGGAGAGGCGGGCGGAGACCGGCTGCCCGGGAGAGTGCCCTGGGGCGGGGCGCCCTGGGTCCTGTCCTGGCAGGTGTCTGTCCTTCCTGGCATGATAGGGCCTTCAGGTTGTCGGGCACGGGAGGAGGAGCCAGGCTGGAGCAAATGAGGCGCGGAAGGTGGCAGAGCGGAAGGAGGTGCCCAAGAAGACCGCCAGGCCAGCCCGGAGCCGCCGCCGCTGCCCTCCCTGGAGCGCCTTCTGCCCCCAGGCCCGAGTCCTGGCCATGCTCCGCGCGGAGCTGCCCCTGTCCTGCCTGGGCCGCTCCCTGCTGCTGCTGCAGCTGCTGCTGCCGCCCACGTCCGCCTTCTTCCCCAACATCTGGAGCCTCCTGGCCGCCCCTGGCTCCATCACCCACCAGGACCTGACCGAAGAGGCAGCGCTCAACGTCACCTTGCAGCTCTTCCTGGAGCAGCCACCCCCAGGCCGGCCCCCGCTGCAGCCCGAGGACTTCCTGGTGAGCACCTGGGGCCCCGCACCGTGCCAGACGCCTTCCCCAGGGCCCTGGCCTCGAGGAGGGACACCTGCCTCCCCCCGCCCCTCCCCCGCACCCTCATCCTGGAGGTGGCATCCGTGTCCCTCAGCCCGGGGCTGCCCCCTCTGGGCGGGGTGGGCAGCACTCTGATGGCCCCTGTCGCCAGCCTTGGGAGCCAGTCGGGAGGTAACACGGGCAGCGCTGCCACCCAAGGGGCTTCTGTCCCCGCCGCTCTGTGCAGGGCCGCACCCTGCTCGCCGACGACCTCTTCGCCGCCTACTTCGGAGCCGGGTTTTCCTCCCGGCGGTTCCGAGCAGCCCTGGGAGAGGTGTCTCGTGCCAATGCCGCTCAGGACTTCCTGGCGGCTTCCAGGAACGACCCGGACCTGCACTTCGACGCTGAGCGGCTGGACCAGGCTCGAGACCGCCTGGCGGGGGCTCTGCGGGAGACACTGGCGGCAGCCGCAGCCCAGGACCACGCGCTGGCCCGCCGGCGTCTCGGGGCCGCGCTGCACGCCCTGCAGGTGAGGAGGGGGCGGACGGCAGGGAGCCCCCTCGCCAGCCCTGCCTGCTCCGGGGGGATGGGGCGCGGCCCGAGTCCCGCCCCACACGCTGTGCGGAGGGAAGGGGAGAGGACGCGGCAGGTCCGGGCCCTCGGGGACGGGGAGGCGCTGCGCCCCGGGCGGTGCAGGCGTGGCGGGCGGGCGGGAGCCGGGGCTCGGGCGGGTGCGCACGGCTCTCCAGGCGGGAGCGCTGGGGCTGGGGAGGGTGACCGGACCCGGCGGGCTCCGCAGCTCCCTCCTCCCTCTGTCCCTGGGGCCCAGGATTTCTACAGCCACAGCAACTGGGTGGAGCTGGGGAGGCAGCAGCCACACCCTCACCTCCTCTGGCCCCGGAGGCGGGAGCTCTGGAGCCTGGCGCAAGGTACAGCGGCCGCCCTGGGATCCCGCCCACGCTGCTCACCTGCTCCCGTCGGAGGTGGTGCTGCTCCCTCCTGGGAGGACTTCAGCTCCGGAAGCGGCCCTCTCCCGACCCGAGGCCGCGGGCCTCAGCCCTCCCCAAGGCTCTTCCTCCCGGTCCCCTCGTGCTCCCAGCTCGACTAGGACCCCGAAGCTGCCTCCTGCCCACCACAAGTCCACGTCCTGCCTGCGGGTCAGCGGGCAGGATCTCAGGACGGACCTGAACAGTTCTGGGCTTTCTAGCGCGGTCCCACTGCCGGCCCCAGAGCTCCAGGGTGTGGCTCAGAAAGCCTCTCGGGGAAGCCTGGTGCGCCCCGAGGAAAGGCTGTGACAGGGGCGAGACTTGGGTGGACAGGGGCAAAGTCCCTGGGCTTCTGTTCTAGCCCCCGCCCTCCCTTCCCAGAGGGCGACCCTACCTGCTCTGACTGTGAGGCGTTGAGCTGTTCTGGGAATTTGCTGGGCTCCACGCTCCTCACTTCCGGCTACTTTGGAACTCATCCCCCCAAACCTCCAGGTACAGACGGGGAGAGCTCTCCTCCCCACCCGTAGGGGGAGATTGTTACTTTCTGTGAGCCCTTATGTGGGACCTCAGTCCTGTTGGCCCTTGTTCCATCTGCCATGGCGTCTCTTCCTAGGAGAAGTGGATGCTGGGAGTGGGCTGGGTGGATGGAGGCCAGTTGAGGAGGCTGGGGTCGTGGGTGAGGAGCTTCTTATTCTGCTCGCTGGATTTCTGTTACCCATGGGCAGCTTTGGGGGCTACCACGTGCTGTAGTAACTGATCCCTTCAGATTTACTCTGGATTTTTTCTTTTTTGTTGTCGTCTTTGTGAGACAGGGTCTCGCTATGCAGTTCAGGCTGGCCTTGAGCTCACTTTGTATCCCAGGCTGGCCTCGAACTCGCAGAGATCCTCCTGCCTCAGCCACCCAAGTGCTAGAATTACAGGCGAGCGCTACCACACCTGGCTTACTCTGGATTTACTCTGATCCTTTGCTGAGGGATGAGAGGGTCACCCCAGGTCAGAAAGCGACCCATTTTCTTAGGAGGCCGTGGCTTCTGGACGTCCACACTCCAGATCGCTTTCCCCCATGCAGGGAAATGTAGCCATGGGGGCCATTTTGACCAGAGCAGTGCCCAGCCGCCCCGGGGAGGCATCAACAAGGACAGCACGTCCCCTGGCTTCTCCCCGCACCATGTGCTGCACCCGCAGGCTGCACAGCTGGCCCTGCTGGCCTCCATCGAGGCCTTCAGCCTCCTGCGGGGCCGCCTGGGAGACAGGGGGTTCTCCAGGTGAGTGGCTTCCAGAGAAACCAGGAGTGGGGCTGACGTGCAGATGCTTCACTGTGTCTCTGCCCTGCTCCTCAGGCTGCTGGACATCACCCCGGCCTCCAGCCTGAGCTTCGTCCTGGACACCACGGGCAGCATGGGAGAGGAGATCAATGCGGCCAAAATCCAGGCTCGCCACATTGTGGAGCAGCGGCGCGGCAGCCCCATGGAACCGGCCTACTACGTCCTGGTGCCTTTCCATGACCCAGGTACAGGAGGGGCAGGAAGGGAAGTGCGGGGTGAGAGGAGCAGGCCTGGTGAGGAGGTGGGCCCCACGGCGCCACTTCCCTAACGGAACGGTGAGCCTTCCTGTGGTCCTTTGTGAGCCTCTACTGGGCACCCGTGTGCACAGACAAGTGGCCAACACGGCAAAAAAACAAAAGGGGAGCTCTCTTTCTACTAGTCTAATGTGTGATCCACGCTGAGGTACCTAGCCTCTGCTTTTTTTTTTTTTTTTTTTGTACCAGGAATCGAACTCAGGACCTTGTGTTTGCCAGGCAGGTGCTGTGCTGCTACCTATATCCCTGGCCCTCCTTTCCTTTTTTTAAATTTAAAAATCTTTTTTCTGGGGGATGTACCCAGGGCTTATTTTTATTTTTATTTGAAACAGGGTGGTAAGTTGCCCAGTCTAGGCTCAAACTTGGTAATCCTACCACCTCAGCCTCCTGGAGCGCTGGGATTATAGGCGTGTGCCTCCACACATAGCTCAGAGCCTGTTTTCTTAGGCTTCTATTATAATAAGCTGCAACTGTGCACTTCATATAGTGAGATGGGGTTGAAGATGATGGGTCTGTTCATCTGGATGGGTGGTTAGACTGGGGTGCTTACACATTAGGCTGGGCATTTAACCTCTTTTCACCTCATTTTCATCACCCACTAACTAGGTCAGTCAATGTCTCCAGGACTGAGAATTCCCTACAGGGAAGGTTTGAGTCCGATTTGTCTTGTAAATCTCATCGTGGCTGGTATTTTTATTTATTCATTTAATTTTTGTTTTGTTTTTTTGAGACAGGGTCTCACTCTGTAGTTCAGGCTGGCTTTGAACGCTCAGGGATCCTCCTGCCTCAGCCTCCCAGGTGCTAAGATTACAGGTGTGTACCAGCACAACGAGCTGTGGCTGGTATTTAATAGGGACTTACTACATCTTTGATGAAGGTATGAATAAATAAGATTTTATTCTATCCAGGCATGGTGGCACATACCTATAATCCCAGCACTTGGAAGGCTGAGGCAGGAGGATTGCCTTGAGTTCCAGGGCAGCCTAAGCTACAAAGTGAGCTTAAGGCCAGCCTGAACTGCATAGCAAGACCCTGTCTCCAAAAAAAAAAAAAAAAAGATTTTACTTTAAGATTTATAAAATTAACTCAGTAGTAGTACTTGTTCTTCTTTGGTTACTTGAGACAGGACTTGCTATGAGTCCAGGCTGGCCCTGAACCTTGAACTCATTGTGTAGCCCAGGCTGGCTCCCAAGTGGGGGATGGTGGGTGTGTGCCCCCGTGGCTGGCAGGAGGGAGTTTCCCTCACTCATCTCCCTTCCCCCACCTAGGCTTCGGCCCTGTCTTCACAACCAGCGACCCTCACATCTTCTGGCAACAACTCAATGAGATCCAGGCGCTGGGGGGTGGAGACGAGCCTGAGATGTGTCTGTCTGCCCTGGAGGTCTGACCCTTCCCCTGACCTTTCCTGTTACCCTGACTTGCCTGGGCCCTGCCACCAGGGGGAGCTAGAGGTGCCCCCCCGCCCCCGCCCCCGCCCCCCCAGCAGCTAGCTCCACTAGCTCCCTGTATAACCCCGCCCCTTCGCCCCTGCCAGCTGGCCCTGCTGCACACACCGCCGCTCTCAGACATCTTTGTCTTCACGGACGCCTCCCCCAAGGATGCCTTTCTCACCAACAGGATTGAATCCTTGACTCAGGAGCGGCGCTGCAGGGTGAGCACAGCGGGAGAGAGGCAGTGGTCGCCGCGCTAGGGTGGGGGGGACCCCGTGACAATCTAAAAAGGTCACATCACTCCACGGTGGTTGACCCAGACTGGCTCCAGCCCACAGCCCCCGTACAGGGGATCAAAACCAAGGCCTCATGCAGACCCTGCCTCAAGTGTTCCGCCGCTGAGCTACATCCCATCCTTCTATTTGAGATAGGGTCTCCAGTCACCTAGGCCGGTCTTGCACTTGTGGTCCGCCTGCCTCAGCCTCCCAAGTACAGCAGCTGGGATTACAGGTGTGTGCTGGCTGCACCCAGCCCGTAACTGCGGCCGTACTCACGAGGAGGAGGGCACACCCTTCACGACGCTGAGTTCATATTTGAACCTGCCCAATAGACTATTTGAAGAGCTACTGCCAAGACCACGCTGTGAAGGGTGCTACGGTTACAAGGGGTGGCTAAGGACGACCTGACGGCCTGGGGCCGAGGCGCCCCCGCAGAAGCCTGGGGCGCAGATGTTAGCATCACGCTCAACTCTGCAGGAAGTCTGAGCAGCAGGGACTCTTGTTCACAACAGCACTGGTGGCCTTCTGACCACAGGTGACATTCCTGGTGACTGAAGATCCGTCAAGGCTTCAGGGTCGAACTCGGCGTGAGGTTTTGTCACCTCTGCGTTTTGAGCCATATGAAGCAGTGGCCCTGGCGTCAGGAGGAGAAGTGATCTTCACCAAAGACCAGCACATTCAGGACGTGGCGGCCGTCATTGGGGACAGCATGGGTGCTCTGGTGAGTACAGAGGTGACCGAAATACATGGCTAATGTTTAAGTTTCAAAATTTCGATTACAGTAAAAGATAACTTGCTATGAATCCCCTTCAAAAATATTCTCCCTCAGCTAGGCGTGGTGGCGCACGCCTGTAATCCCAGCACTCGGGAGGCTGAGCCAGGAGGATCCTTTCCAGTTCAAGACCAGCCTGGGCTACAAAGTGAGCTCAAGGCCAGCCTGAACTGCACAGCGAGACCCTGTCTCAAGAAGACAGAAAAAAAATACTCTCCCTCAGTCGGAACACACCTACCGCGTTGCTCTTGCCACTTTAAGCCCTCCCGGAAGTCCTCTGGGAGAGTCTATGAGGTGTGATCAAAGCTGCAGCGAATGCTGCTGGTGGTGCCGTCCAGTGGAGCGCAGGCTTCTCCAAACATTACTGTCGTCCCCATCCTCCTGCTCACTGGATCCGGCCCTGCGCGGCTCCTGCCTCTTCCCCAAAGTCAAAACGACCATGAAGGGTAAACGTTTTGAATTGATTCAGGACGTTGAGACAACCACAACAGCACAACCAAGGACGCCAAAGTTTTCCAGAACTGCTTTAGAGGGCCGGGGATGTAGCTCAGTGGCATAGGGGCTTGTCTGGCAAGCCTGAGGTCATGAGTTCCATTCCCAGTACCCAAAAAAACCCCAAACAGAACTGCTTTAGAAAGTGGTCAGAGCGACACAATAACTATATTCAAAGTTAGGGGGCATATTTTGTTTGTTTGTGTCCGGTACCGGGAACCGAACTCACGACCTTGCACTTGCCAGGCAGGCGCTTTGCCGCTGAGCTAAATCCCCAGCCCCTAGGGGGCATATTTTGATGAGGATTAATGGCAATATGGGTTTTTTTCTGTAATATGTTTAAAAAGCTTAACTATTCACGGTATTTTCCAATCACACTGCGTAAGGGGTGGGTGCCCTCAGCTCAGAGGCAGGGGTGTGTTGCTGAGTCTTCCAAAGCAGAGAGGGGGCTGTACTTCGTCTGGGTCAGAAGGGTAGGAAAGAAAGTTCCCCCCCGCCCTTTCAAATCAGTTACCCTGCCCTCCCCCATGGGCTCTGGAGCTGCGTGCTCAGGCCGGTGACACGGAGTCGGGCCATCACTAAAGGGGAAGGAGGGGAGAAGCGACTGCTCTGCTCCGAGTCCTCACCTCCAGCTGTGCCGCCGACCACGGCAGCTGGTCCTAAGCCCTGGCGGGACCGTCAGCTCGCGGCCTGCCCGCACCTGTGGGGGCTTCACCCCACGCCTCCCCTTTGGTCCTGCTCATCTCCGCAGGTGACTCTTCCGCTGGAGCCCCCCGTCCCGGCGCCGGGGAGCGCGGCCGTGTTCAGCGTGGACGGGCTGCTCCGGAAGCTCACTGTGCGCCTGCACGGGAAGATCAGGGCCTTCCGGATCAAGAGCCCCGCAGGTACCCCCGGGTCTCCCAGGGCAGAGAGAGCGGGAGAGGAGAACGGCGAATGACGGGGCGTGTGCTAAGGGGAGGAAACGGCTTCGGGTGACGTTTTTGTTCCCGCCCAGGGGCGTCTCAGGACCACGAGGAAGGTGTGGGTCCTCTAGGGCGCACTCGCCGCTTTGGCCAGTTCTGGCTGGTGAGCGTGGCGGAGCCCCCGCAGACGGGGACGTGGGAGATCCAGGTCACAGCTGAGGGCACCCCTCGCGTGCGAGTGCAAGGTGAGCAGGGGCCGCGCCGCGCCGGGGAGCCTGCGCCCGACGGCCGTCCCGCCGCCGTCCTCTCAGGGTCTCCGCCCTCCGCCCCCAGCCCAGACCTGCCTGGACTTCCTCTTCCACTTCGGGACCCCCGCGGAGGGCGGACCCCACCCTGGCCTCTACCCGCTGGCGCAGCCCGTTGCAGGTGCGTTTCTCCCGGGCGCCGCCCCAGCGCACCGCGCTGCCCACGAGCGCCCGCGCCTGCTCGGGCTCGCACAGGCGGCGGCGCACCTTCCACCGCGCGGAGGGCGCCAGCGAGCGTACAGCTTGCCGGATCTCGCCCACCCGCCGGGGGACCGACACCCGCTCGGGAAGGGTCATTCACTCCCCCTGCCTCTGCACCCTTGCGTCCAGGGCTGCCCGCCCAGCTGCTGGTGGAAGTGACCGGGCCGGGCGCCGGGGGCCCAGCGCCGCGCTTCTCCCAC